CCATCCAGAGGCAGCTTACCCAAGCCAACTCCATCAACTTTCACCCAGAGCTTCAAACAATCCCCTTGAGCACACTGAAAATGAGGCCACTTAAGGACCCAAACGTTCCTGAGAATTTAAAGTATAAGCATCTGCCAGACATGCAAGCTCTGAACATAGTTGAAACCATCAAGCAGATGCAGGCGGTATTAGAAAAACCAGAAGCAGACATGAACCCCTCCCGAGGCGACAGTTCCTATCACACTACAGAATTGAGGGGGGATGAAACTTCACACACCAGAAAATTAGTTACTCCTATTCATGGGAGAGAAACCCCTAGTCTGGGAGACAAAACCTCCACTGTTCGTAGATGCACCAAAACTTCAACCACAAAAATTGTCACTGGCCCCGATGGCCCTGAAGAACGTGTAGTTGAAAAAATAGTTTCTTCTGATGGCTCAGACTGCTCCTATTTACATGGAGCAGGAAATGTTGAAGGGGAAGGGAGCATCTACCATGCTGGTGGGACACATGGCATCCACAAGCTAGAGAGGTTATTCCCCGAGCTAGAGTCATTTTTTACCCCCGACTTTTCATCCACTGACAGGCACTTTGCTGGATCTAGCAGCGTTTCAACTAGCAGCCATGTAACTGGCACAGGCAGCAGTCACTTAGGTACTGCAGCATCCAGTCATTCAGGGACTTATGGGAGGAAAGATGAATTTACAGACTTAGGAGAGGGGGAAGAAGATGACTTTAGAGAATTCCACCTTCAGCCATCTGGATTCCCATCCGGCAGTGCAAGTCACTCCAAGACTGTAGTGACCAGCGCCTCTTCTAGTTTCGGCAAGGGAGGCTCCACTTTCGAAACCAAATCACTAAAGACCCGTGAAATAACTGAGCAGCTAGGTGGGGTGCAACATGATCAGAGTGCAGAGGATACCCCAGACTTTCAGGCACGCAGCTTCAGACCGTCAGGAGTGAAGCAAAGGACAGCCAGCACTGGGAAAGGTACACAGGCATCAAAGAAGTAGTAATTGAGGTAGTGGAGCCAAACTATCCATAACCAAACTGACACACTGGTTTTAGATACTGCAGTACAACAGTGTGATGATAAAATGCAAATACTGTGTCTGTTTGTTGCCACCTCAGAAACAAAAAGGAAAATCTTTCATTAATGCTCGGTATTATATAGACAATTCACAGTTTAAGAAGTATGTAAAGTTTTCTTTTCTGAATTCTTTTTAATGTTGCCTGTCACTATACCTAGTGTAGTCCAAGACATGTTTAACAGTTTTCCTCTGAGCTATTGGTACTTGGATTCCTCTGAACCTTTTATTAAATTTTGCCGATAACTCCTGTCAAACCAGATCAACTTTTTTTTTTAGACTGTGATGATATCCGCCAGAAACACACTTTTGGTGCCAAAAGTGGCATTTTCAAAATCAAGCCAGCGGGATCCAATAAGGTTTTGTCAGTTTATTGCGACCAAGAGACCACTTTGGGAGGATGGCTATTGATCCAACAGAGAATGGATGGATCAGTGAATTTTAACCGGACCTGGCAAGACTACAAGAGAGGTTTCGGCAGCGTGGATGGCAGAGGGCGAGGAGAGTTCTGGCTGGGCAATGAAAACATACACTTGCTGACTCAGAATGACACTCTCCTTCGGGTAGAGTTAGAGGACTGGGATGGAAATGCCGTGTATGCAGAGTATATCGTACAGGTAGGGTCTGAAGCAGAAGGGTACGCCCTTGCCGTGTCCTCCTACGAGGGGACTGCCGGGGATGCGCTGATCGACGGCTGGCTGGAAGAGGGCACTGAATACA